CCGGACCGCGAGATCGTGACCTGGCTGAAGTCGGACGCTTAACCGACTGCGCCACCCAGGCGCCCCAAGAGTCAGACTCTTAACCAACTAAGCCACCAGGAGCACCAAGTTTCTTAAGGTTATCATTTTGATGCTATTACTTCCAAACAGTACCTTGGCTTAACACACCATCCACATCAAATTATTTTTGCAAACATGGAGTCTAACCTTAATATAGATGCACGGATGGGGGAATAACAATGGCTTCTTAAGAAATGGAAAACTATTACCCCCAACAAAAATTAAGTTGTTCATTTGTCTAAAGTTAGTAAGTACTTGAACAAATAAATGACACCAACATAGGGTCAATTCAAACCTTCCTTGCCATGCACTCATTATGAAGAAATAAGACATTAGACTTCAATTTTCAAGAATCTTATAAGCACCATCTATAAAGAACTCTTGCCCTCAATTCTCCTCTGTCCCCCTCACTCCTCCACAAAACCCAAACATGATTCTTGGGGGGACCATGAAACAGGGACCATGGCAAGCACTATGAGAATGCAATCAGCAAAACAACTGGAGTTTCTTTAACACATTAAATTGTATAGGAAGGGAAAACCTCTGAAGTAAAAGCAATTTAAGAGACATAGTACTCAATTTTGTATCCATGGATTTTATTTGGATCCTGTTACAAACAAAACGAAAAGGATGTTCCCAAGGTAACTAGCAAAACTGACAGAATACTTGATACTGGTGTGACCATGGTGTCATGGTTACCTGAAAGAATCATCTTTTGGAAAGCTGTATTTATGAAAGAACATAAGATACCTGGGATATAGTTCGAAATAATCTCGAGTGGGTGGCAGAGTGGGTATATAGATGAAAGAGGACTGGCAATGACTTGATAGCTGCTGGGTGATATTAGCGTCAGGACACCGGATTTCACTGTTCTATTCTCTCTACTTTGGTATAGGTGTGAAGTTGGCCGTAATAAAAAATATTGCAGGAAGCAGCAGCTTAGAAGGATTCGTACACACAAAACAAAATTCAGATAATATTAAAACATGAAACAACAAAGTGTGGAAGACGATTCTCCAATCCTACTGCAATTCAAAAACGAGGAAGGGCACTTGTGAAGAGGAGAAATTAGGCAGATGAAGTTTCAGACAGAAAACCAGTATTGACTAGAGCTCCAAAGGGACTAAGATTGACCAAAAGACCAAAAGACCTGCACTCCGGGTAGAGAGAGGATCACCAATAAAGGCACAGAAAGACATCTGCTGAAGCCAACGGCTAATTTGCTAGGTTAGAGTTTGGATTTCATCGGCACCACTGTATGTTAGCGCACAAGAGAGTAAGAAGACTGTAAGAAGACTGACAGGACACCTAAGGACACCATTGCTTCTGGTTGGTGGCCAGATTTAGGCTTAGTAATGAAAATCACTGGTTGTGGAAATAGGAGAGGGAAAAGTAAACCCAAGGATGGCCACAGAAAAGAATAAGCAGAACTCAAAAATTCAGTGGCTATGTGTGAGAGACAGTAAGGAAGAGCCAAAAGGAACTTATTAGTGGCAGAGGGACAGCTGTCTGCTGACGAAAACAAGATGGAGAGACTTTGGGAAGTGGTTTTAGAAGAAGACAATGGGTTCAGAGACGGAGTTTGAAGTGGGATGTACTGCAGGCAACTGCGATGCTGTAATTTATAAGACACATTTATATTTGGTCATTCATGTGTACTGGTGATTCAAAATGTATTTCTCATATACATTTGGTCTTCATCCACTCTTCTCGGCTCACAACTCCCCAAATTCTTGGAATTTCCTGAGCAGTAAGAGTAATAGCATATTTGTTATATATTGTCTCTTGTCCTCAGTTCCAGAAAACACTTCAGAGCTGTAGAGGTAAAATGGGTGTCTTATTATTCATAAGAAGCCCCTTTCCACTGCAATTGAGTTTATGTTAATGAGCTGACCTTTGGAGAGCACCTAAGGATGGAGGCTGGTTGCTAGAGGAACTGACCATGAATAGAGGGAATCCTACCCTCTGATTTCTGGGGAGGGGAGAGGGGCTAGAGACTGAACAATCACCAATGGTCAATGAGTTAATCAATCATGTCTATGTAATGAAGCTTCCTCCAAAAGGAGGGGTGGGTTTGGGGAGATTCCACTCTGGGGAACCAGAATGCTTCCATATGTACTGGGGCAGGCCCCAAGCTGAGGACACAAGCATCTATGCATCTCTTTTCCTCTGGTTGTTATATCCTTTCTAATAAACCGGTAATGTAGTGAAGTAAATGTTTTTTCTGAGCTCTGTCAGCCATTCTAGCAAGTCAGTCAAACCCAAGGAGGGGGCTGAGGGAACCTCTCATCTATAGCCAGTTGGTCAGAAGTACAGGTAACAACCAGGACTTGTGACCGGCATCCTGACTTGGAGGGGCTGGTTAAGCTTCCAATTTGTAGCCGGTTGGTCAGAAGCACAGGTAACTTGGGCTTGCAAGTGGCATCTGAAGTGGAAGGAGGTCTTGTGGGACTGAGCGCTTTACCTGTGGAATCTCATTGATCTCCTCCTGGTAGTTAGTGTCAGAATTGAGTTGAATTCTCAGCCTGGTGCCCCAAGAATTGCTTGGTATGGGAAAGCCTTTACACACACATGCATTTTAGGATTGGGTCCAGTGAGACATTTAGAAAAATGGACATGCTGCTCAATGGACTTTCTTTTACTCCTTGTGCCTCATTAGTGCCTTAAAAAGATGGTGTAAATGATAAATGAGGTCAAGAATCAAGTGGATCAAATACAAACACATATCCACTCACTCCTAAAACTCCACTTAGTAGAGAATCCAGCGTTAATTTTTATCTATTTGTTAAAAAAATTCTCTTTAATGTTTACTTTTGAGAGAGACACACACACAGAGTGTGAGCAGGGGAGGGGCAGAGAGAGGGAGACACAGACTCCAAAGCAGGTTCCAGGCTTTGAGCTGTCGGCACAGAGCCTGACGCAGGGCTCGAACTCACAAACTGCGAGATCATGACCTGAGCCGAAGTCAGATGCCCAACTGACTGAGCCACCCAGGTGCCCCTCCAGTGTTAATTTTTAAAGCATAAACTGACAGAGAGAATGGCAAAGAAGTTAGAGCGATAAAACTTACAAGATGGAACAGATCATTGGTAAATGTCTTAGTGGATCCAAGAAAACAGAATAAGCCGCAGGTGAAAGCTGAGAAGCGCTGTGATGTGTATCCCCTCAAGGCTCAGAGTTGGGCAGTATTGGGTGGGATTTAAACCAGAAACACTGCTTTAAAACATCCTTTAAACAAATAGGGCTCCAGGGGTACCTTTGGTGGCTCAGTTGGTTAATCGACTTCAGCTCCGGTCATGATCTCGCAGTTCATGAGTTTGAGCCCCATAATGGGGCTCTGTGCTAACAGCTCAGAGCCTGGAGCCTGCTTCACATTGTGTCTCCCTCTCTGTCTGCCCCTCCCCTGCTCACACACACACACACACACACACACACTCTCTCTCTCTCTCTCAAAAAACAAAACAAAACAAAATAAAAACATTAAAAAAAATTTAAAGAAACAGGGCTCCAGAGCACAGGGCATAGTGCAATCTAACAGCCCCTTCCCTGGCCAGACAGATCATTTGGAGGTTTTCTCGGTAAAATGGGGTCTCTGGAAGATGCTCCACACAGTTGAGGAGAGAGCACCATTCTGAAAACAAGGAAATTAAGTGATTGTGTAACTGCATGTTGAACCCCCCATTTTCCTGCAGAAAGAAGGCAACAGACAACACACAGGAAGAAGAAAATGTCAATAATAGGATAATAAACTGTATCCTCTAACAGATAATCAGAGAACCAAGAATTCTTGAAAAGTAAAAATATAATAGGAGAAATAAGAAAAAATAAAGCTTACAATAACTAGTCGAGAAATCTCCCAGAAAATAAAGCAAAAAGAAAATGACAGAAAATAGGAGAGAAAGGTACGACAGACAGGACCTGCCTAGGAGGTCTAACATTTGAATAAGATTTCAGAGCTAGAGAAGAGAGACCAAGGAGAAGAAAAGACAGACTGTAGACAGACAAAACCAAAGAACTAGAGTTTCAATATGAAAAGTACATACCAAGTTCTTAGTATAAAAACAGACCCAGCACAACAGTGTGAAATAACGACCCTACAGACTTTCACAGGGAAAAAGGTTTCATACAAGGGATCAAGAATTAGAATGGTGTTGGTCTTCAGCAGCAACTAGTCCTGGAACTAGAAGATAATGGAGCAAGACAAACATTCCAAGGGAAAATTATGTTCAACCTAAAACTTCACATGCAGCCAACTGACTGTGAAAGCAGGAGAGACACTAGGAAACATACAAGGTGTCCCCTCCCAGTTTCACACACCCTTTCTTAGGAAGCCACTGCAAGTTGCATGTACTCCCCAAACAAAATGAAACAAAACCCACAAACAAATAAAAACTAAAAACCAAAAAGACGGAGTAAACCAAGAAAGATCAGTGAGGGGTGCCTGGCTTGCTCAGTCAGTAGAGTATTAATCTCAAGGAGGTGAGTTTGAGCCCCACATTGTATATGGATCCTACTTAAAAAAAAGATTGGAGAGACAGAAAGTAGGGGATACAGAAAGAGAGTAATAATGATCTCCCGGATGATGGTGAAAAGAAATCCAAATGACACTAATGCAGCAGGCCTACAAGGCAATCCAACAGGTGAACACAGATGAAGTCTCCAGGTTCCAAGCTAGAGCTCTTCAGCAAGAAGTTGAAAGAGTGCCTGAGGTATCTGTATGCATTAAAGTATATGTATTTATACCACTGGGTGGAAGTGTGGGGCAATAAGTAGTGCAAAGATGACTAGGCAAATGAAACACAGTGTTAGGCAGAAAGGGAAAAGGAATCAGTATAATTTATGCTTGACAGATCTCGCGGTTCGTGAGTTCGAGCCCTGTGTCGGGCTCTGTCCTGACAGCTCAGAGCCTCGAGCCTGCTTCAGATTCTGTGTCTCACTCTCTCTCTGCCCCTTCCCTGCTCATGCTGTCTCTGTCTCAAAAATAAAAAAAAAATTTTTTTTAAATTAAAAAAATAAAAATAAAAATAAAACCTTAAAAAAAAAAAAAACCCTTAAAAACAAACAAACAAAAAACCCAACATGACACTATATACACCAAAACCCCTTTAAGGGATGCCTGGGTGGCTCAGTCATTTAAGCATCTGACTCTGGCACAGGTCATGATCTCACGGTTTGTTAGTTCTTAGTTTGAGCCCCACATCACGTGAGCTCAAGTCCTGCTCTGGGCTCCATACTCTCTCTGTCTTTCCCCCTCTCTCTGTACCTCATGGGATTCTCTCTCCCTCTTTCCCTCTCAAAAGTAAATAAACTAATTAATTAAAAATTAAAAAAAAAAACAAAAACAAAACACTCTTTAAAAAAGAGCCCCAACTTTGACTTAGCAATTTTATGTGTGGCACACAACCTAAGGACAACCACAAAAAGATTGAAGAGCGAAGATGCTCACCACAAAGAGCTATCAAAAATGTGTAGAAAACTACAGTACATTAGGGAAAACTACACAACCAACTGAATTTGATGCAAATATCTGGTTAACAAAGAAAAGTGTCCAAAATATGTTAGGTGCATTCAAAGGTTACAATTAATAAGTTAGATGCCAATTTTGAAAATAAGGGGGAAGTATGAACATAAGGGTTGTGAGTCTGAAAGTGGGTAAAAATTCAGATAAAACAAGATTGGCCAGTAGTGAACATTACCGAATCGGGGTGACAGGTACCTGGAGTGGGAGTGGAGACTGTTTTATTATACCATTCTCTCTACTTTTGTAAATATATTTGAACTTTTCCGTAATAAAAGGTTAAGAAGAAAGTGAAAAAATATGCACCAAAATGTTAACTGGCAACCTGGGTACAGAACTACAGATATTTTCTTCCTTAGCACAATTAAAGTCCAAATTCTCATTCACTCATAGTCACTATTCAAAATAGTCTAGTCAAGGCTATTCAAAACATAGCATTAAGGAGGCACCTGGGTGGCTCAGTCGATTAAGAGTCCAACTTTGGCTCAGGTCATGATCTCACGGTTCGTGAGTTCAAGCCCCATGTCAGGCTCTGGGCTGACGCTGAGAGCTCAGAGCCTGGAGCCTGCTTTGGATTCTGTGTCTCCCTCTGTCTCTGCCCCTCTCCCGCTCATACTCTGTTTTTCTCTCTCTCAAAAATAAACATTAAAAAAAAAAATTCAAACAAACAACACACAGCACTAAGAGAAGTTTAACTTACCACCCAGCAGGCATTTCCAAGATCGGCAATTTTCACCTGGAGCTTTTCTGCATTTTTTGGCTCAAGGGGATTAACAAGAAAATTTCCAGCAGTGGATTTTCCTATAGACGATAGGCATCATAAGTAACACTGGTTAGTAAACACAGAAATACCCAAAGACTAATAAAACTCTCTGAAGTAATATACTCGGGCCCTTGACTGGCAACCTACACTCTAAATTTTCTAAGATAAAAAAAACAACATCCTCAGTTTATGGAATTAAAACCTACCTCTGCCTTCAGGGCAACAAAATGCTGTGCATCCACTACATTGACCAATACAGTTCAAAATTAGCTAAAAATCTACACACGGAAGGTAACCTGGTGCCTGCCATAAAGCTTTATGCATAAAAACAATGGTACTTTAAGTTTAGAAATTCATGAATATGCTATTCAGGGAAGGGTACTGGGGAAGTATGTCTGCACAGGTACCTTTGTTGTCCAATGGTCCATTTTGTTCTTGTTCTTGCTCATCTTCACAGGGTATCTCTGCCCGAATGCTTTCTTGAAGCTGGCTGATGTCCTGCTCACTGAATGACTGGTCTACATTTGGTGAAGACTGGCACATCATGGTATCTGACACCTCAGAGGTTATAGGTGTACAAGAGTCTGTTTCTTGAGATGTGCTGCTGTCTCCATTTTGGGAGCTTAGGAAACTAGGTTCCTGCTTCAAATTTTGGACATCACAGTCATTAGCATTATGTAGATCCTCTTTAAGCCTCAATGTTTCTTTATTATTGTTCTCAGTATAATTAACGATTTCAATTACTCCATTGCAATTAATCTCTGCTGCACCACCCTCTACACCACGTTCCATATGTGTCTGATCCTGGTTAATGGTACTTGACTCTTCTAAGGAACAAACAGACAAAAAGGATGTATGTGTATGTGTATGAGTGAAAGAACAAAAAAATTTCTCCATAAGATTAAAACGTTTTCTAGAACTTATACAGGGTGACATAAAAACATGACTGAACATCTAAAACCTATTTATGGAAGGACAAAGATCTTCTTATCCTTAGTCAATTGCAAAATGAAGTCTATGTTGCATTTCCATAGAAAAGTCAGAAATTACATTTGAATATTACCTGCCTACCATTTATGAAAGTTCTGTACTCTTACTGTATAAGGACACCCCCAGAGATGTGTTTTATGCATGAAACCACTATATTATAGAACAATGATAAATTAATGTTAAAGTAAATTTTTGTGTATGCTCTATTTATACCAAGTTTTTCTTGGGTCATTTTATTAGGTGGGTTCTCTTTCAAGGGTCTTTCAACAGGACTCTCTGATTCTTCTTGCTTGTTTGGTCTTTTTTGCCCAGGGCCCGACTCTTTCTCCATTTCCTCAATTTCCTGCATTCGCTTCTCTAGTAATTCTGCCTGGCGCTTCTGCTTCTTCTTCAATTTCTTCTTCTTATTCTTTGACATTTTGTCAGCCTGGGCGGAGATTACAAACAGATAAAGCCTTCAGGTGGCTAATCCATTACCCCCAGTTGGAGATAACTGTTAACTTTAATATTTCCTAATTAAATTTCACTCTTTCCCTAACATAGCACTTAAGTTTCTCATTAACGTAAACAATGTGGATACTCTTATGAAACCAAATAAAAACAAAATTAACAATAAGTCTTGGTCCTCTGATCAGTCTGTGGGGCTGGCTTACTCTCAGGCACACTCAAGTCCGTAGAAGCCTCACCAGTACAAACTTGTTAAAGATGCATGGGAATTTATTGGAAAAAATTATAGAAGCGCAGGAATATTTTCTTTGTTTTTCAAACTCTAAACAAACCATGATCTCTAACAGAAAAATTCCTACCCACTGCCCACAGATCAGAATTAAACATAGAAACACCTTATACTTACTGGCTTAGGCTGGGGCGCAGTACTGACTGAAAAGAAAAGAAAATCAAGTAAGGATCCTGGTATTTGGCAGGCAACATAAGCTTATGCTGTAAAGGACACTGCTGTTCTAAAGCAACTTTGGTAGAAGTACCACTTTTAAAAAAAATAATGCATATAAAAGTTGACAAAATAAGCTTAAATAAATTAAATTCTTCTCCAGATAAAATCCAAGTCCCCATTTCTGGTTTTCCATTATTACTGCTGCAAAAATCTCATTCCCATGTATGTTTAAAATAGAAAATGACAGGCAACTACCTACCCCCTTACCCCCATCCAGGACTCCCATCTCTAATTCTTCCCCTTGGCACTGGTCTGTTTTAAAAGGAGCACAGCACCAAGAGCTAGAGTTATACAGCATGTTATGGATATTAGTTTAGCTTAGGTGGGAGGTAGACTCTTAAAAATTTTTTTGAAAGGGGTACCTGGGTGGCTTAGTCAGTTAAGTGTCCGACTTTGGCTCAGGTCATGGTCTCACGGTTCATGGGTTCGAGCCCCACATCCAGCTCTGTGCTGACTGCTCGGAGCCTGCAGCCTGCTTCAGATTCTGTGTCTCCCTCTCTCTGCCCCTCCCCAGCTCACACTCTGTCTCTCTCTCAAAAATATTATTAAAAAAAAAATTTTTTTTTAAGAAGCCACACAAGGTAAAATTTCCCTCTTAACTATTCTTAAGTGTACAGTTCAATAGTGTTAATTATATTCACATTGTTGTGCAATATTACTAGAACTTCTCCATTTTGGAAAAATGAAACTCTATGCCCATCAATTAACTTCTCACTTCCCCCTTCTTTAATCTATCTTTTTAAAGAAAGCCTATGTTAACTGATAATTCAGCTTAAATTTCCTCAAAACTAAAAGTTCCTCAAATATAATAAAACTACTAATATTAAAATCTATACCTCAAATGGCAAAAAATCATCATAATTATAGTCATCATTTAATTAGCACATAATACTGTGTGGCACCCTACTAAATGCTTTCACATGGAACTAATCCCAAGAACTCCTGCCAAGAGGGAAAAGGAAGTCAAGAACTCCCTCAGGGCACCCAAGCCAATGATGAAGCCCAGGACTCAAACCAGGTCTGTCCACTCCAATGCCTAAACTCAAGTTCTTGATAGCAAAGTTATCTTGCCCCTGCACAGATCACTGATCTATAAGCAAGCATGTATTGTCATGGTAAGAGGTAAACACATAAAAAATGGCCACTGAATCACAAGGGAAAACATTTTAAAACAAGAACATGAATTAGCTTTTAAAGTATACAAAATATCTGTACCTAAAAGACACAATCTCTAGACTTCTCTCTACAGGAGAGTGATACTGAGAATTAAAAGTCTTTTGAAGGCTGAGATTATTTCTTACACATAAATACTTACCATATATTATCGTTAAAGGAATGCGTGGTGCCTTACTTAACTACTGGTAATAGAACAAAACTAGGAACTTCTCTTAACTTCTAATGAGACCAAAGTCCTCAAAGAGAACATACCCGCAGATCCAGAGGGTGGAGGAGCTCCAGATCGCTGCCACTCTGTTGCTTCTGCAGCCAATCTTCGGATGTACTGCTCATTCACTGACAGCAGGATGTTTTCTGGTTTAATGTCAGTGTGGATGATACGGCACTTGGTGTGTAAATAATCCAGACCCTGTAACACCTGGATGGGAATAGAGCAGTAGACTTGCAAACACAGAATACAAGTCTTTCTGGAGAAGGAAGAAATCACAATACAACATTTAAAAAAATAAAGATATAAAAACAATATGGTAGTTTTCAACAGAGAATAAAGCATTTTTAATACAGCACAAAGAAACTTCCCCAGAAAGATTACTTGTAAACTATGAACAAAGGTCAGTGTTTATTTATAATAAAAAGTTTCAAGTGTTAGAAAGCTAATTCTATTTGGAGGTATTTAAAGAAGTACATAAAGACCAAGAATAAAAGTCAATATGCCCTTTGAGTGTTAAAATATAGGTGATGAAAGAGATTTAGATATCTCTTAATTCACATTTCCTTGTTGATAAAGAACTGAGGTCTTTTGATTCCTAGTTTGGAGCTCTTTCCACAAAAAACACATTATCCAAACAAATTATTTGCCCCTTGAAGTATTAATATTTGCCTGAGAGTGAACTTCTTTACTATATATTGAGAGTTATTTAAAATATTAGAAAATGCCCTTGAATGTTATATAAAGAGACAGTAATAATTTGACATAGCAATTTTCTATTAATACATAATCAATATTTGCAACCAGAACTTTCAAATTTTCAAAATCAGTCACTGAACACAGCTTGCCCTCTAATAACTATTATAGGAGATGAATCTGGGAGAAATGGGTTATTGCTAAAACATTTAAACACAGAATAAACACTAGGGACTGAATAAAACACTTAATTTTAGTAATTAAAAAAATTCCTAGTTTTTAAAATAAAAACTCTATTGGATATAGAAAACTCCTGACACTTTAAGAATATAAAACAATCACCACAGAGAAAATACTAAGATACATACTTGTTGAATAATTTTTTTGACACAAGGCAGTGGGAGCCCTTGATAATTGGACTTGATGATCCACTTGAGCAGATGATGCCCTAAAACTTCAAACACCATGCAGATATCTAGGAATTTGTTAAGGAAATAAAAGGAAGCACAAAAGAAGAAAGAAGCAAGATAAAATGTGTCCCATCCCAATGAAATTGTTACTGTATTGTTCTTTTAGTAAAAAAGTTATAGAATATGACTAAAAAAATATCTAGCTGTTAAGATTCTGAATTCCAAAGATTGTTTAATGCTTTAGTTACTCAAAACATCCAAGAAATGGAAAACTCGGGGGGGGGGGGCTGGTTATCGATAAAACTATGCACATTAAAACACTGAGTAGTAAAAGTGAAACACACTAGGCTTAAGTTGTTGCCTTTTCCCTGATGTAAAAACTAATGTCCAGGGTAACAACTTTTACTCTCACAGCCTCAAAGCAAGGAAAAATAACTTCTGCTTTAACTGCAGGAGATAATGTACCAAAACTTAACCTAAAAAAATGTGAATGCCAACAGTTTTTAAAAGTAGGAAACTGACTTGCTTTATGCTCTGTAGTTCACAAAACTAATCTTGATTCTAGTGCCACCGTGTGTTCTCATTACGTACACACATCCCAATCATCACAGCAGGAATAATTCCTTGAGCCAGTAGTGTGCAGGGCACTGCTGGGACTTAGTAGTAAGATGTTGCTACCTTGTACCTCTAGAAGTTTCAACATATGGGAAAGTTGAGCTATACATATGTCATAATGACCTAGTGCCCAGACTCTTCCTTTAAGTAAGATTCTTTACTGAAGGAAAACCTGGGCTCCTTAATGGCCAAATCCTGCGTGAACCTGGAAACCTTGCTGTGACAACAGTAATGGAATATGTCAAGAGGAACATGTCTTGACCTCAAGAGGATGCCACCGGTCAAGCTGAAAACATTTTTATTTTTTTAATTATTTTTTTTTTCCAACGTTTATTTATTTTTGGGACAGAGAGAGACAGAGCATGAACGGGGGAGGAGCAGAGAGACAGGGAGACACAGAATCGGAAACAGGCTCCAGGCTCTGAGCCATCAGCCCAGAGCCTGATGCGGGGCTCGAACTCACGGACCGCGAGATCATGACCTGGCTGAAGTCGGATGCTTAACCGACTGCGCCACCCAGGCACCCCTGAAAACATTTTTAAAAATGCAGTTAATGGGGCCACCTGGGTAGCTCGGTCCAGTAAGTATCCAACTTCGGCTCAGGTCATGATCTCAAGGTTCGTGGGTTTGAGCCTCGCATCAGGCTCTGCACTGACAGTGCAAAGCCTGCTTGAGATTCTCTCTGTCCCCCTCCCCTGCTCGTGCTCGCTCTCTCTCTTCTTCTTTCTCTCAAAATAAATAAATAAGCTTTAAAATTATTATGTATAAAATAATATATCTAAGGTTGGCCACAAAATTAGTAGGAGGTAGAGACAAAATAAGATTGGCGATGAGTCGGTAACTCCTAAAGTGGGTAATGGGTTTGTGGATATTCATTAAACTACTCTACTTTTGTATATACAAAATTCAAATCAGGATTTTTAAAAATGTAGACTGCTTTAAAAAAATCCAGAAAAACAGATTTTTAAATTATTCTCTTATGTTCCTAGTTTCAATCTTTTTATTTTATTATTTTAAGTAGGTTTTAGGCCCAGTGAAGAGCCCAACACAGGGCTTGAACTCACAACTCTGAGATGTTCAAGACCTGAGCTGAGATCAAGAGTCAAAGGCTTAACCAACTGAGCCACCCCAGGCACCCCCTAGTTTCAATCTTTGATTTGTTGAGAGAAGTATTACAATTTGACAATGGTATATGTATTTTTTGAGTGAGAGAGACAGAGAACAAACAAGCCAGGGAGAGGGATGGAGGGAGAGGGAAAGAGACAAAGAGAGAAAGAAAAAGAGAGAGAGAGAGAGACAGAGAATTCCAAGCAGATTTGACTCTCAGTGCAGAGCCCTATGTGGGGCTTAATCCCATGACCCCAGGATCATGACCTGATTAGAAATCAAGAGTTGGACACTCAACTGACTGAGCCACCCAGGCACCCATGACAATGTTTTTTTTGTTTTGTTTGGTTTTGTTTTGTTTTACATTTATTTAGATGACAGATGAGACACAGTGTGAACAGGGGAGGGGCAGGGAGAGAAAGGGACACAGAATCTGAAGCAGACTTCCAGGCTCTGAGCAAGCGTTCAGCACAGAGCCAGATGCGGGGCTTGAACCCATGAACCATAAGATCAGCACCTGAGCCTAAGTCGGACGTTCAACCGACTGAGTCACCCAGGCAACCCGGACAATGGTATTTTAATTTGTAAGCAGTGATATAAAAAAGACCGAATATTTAAAAACTTAAGAAACAAACAAACGAACAAAAAACTGGAAAAAAGGATACATGAAAAAGTTTCTTGAGATGGTGTTAAAAAAAAAAAAAAATAGAGGGCTGAGAACTAAGAAGAGTTAGATTTAAGTAAGAGGAGCTAGGAAAAGAAGGAAAATCCATACTAGAAAGAAGAAGTATCCTAAAGACATAGCAGGTCACATAGATGGCCATAACTGATACTCATTGGGTAATGTCAACAGTATATACAGACTCGCTGACCCTCTTTAATCATTCCTCTCTCCTTACTACTCAGGGAAGTAGAATGAACCAAGTATCCCGAAGTCTACATGATTAACTTTCCAGTTCAGGGCCCTTATATTTCAGTATGAGAAAGGGCAGTGCTCTGGAGATGCTCAGATGCAAAGAAAAATACAGATACACAGCTCCATGCAGACATGTCTATGTGGTAAGCAGAGATGAGGGGCAGGAGAATAGCAACACATTAACCCTTAACTCAGCACTCTGAATTTTATCCTTGTCAATCTCTAGTAGCAGCAAATAATGCAGTAGCCAAGACAGCTGGGAGACAAGTAGGAGGAAGGGCAGAGAGAAAACGGGCTAAGGACAAAGAGAAATAAATAAAACTGAGTACTTTTACTCAGTGCGTAAAAGTACAGAGAAACCATCTGGTAATATCCGGAAAGCATCTTGGAACTTGAAATTCAAATCCACTAAGATTTCAACAGTTAAAACAAAACGCATATACACACAGAGTAAACCGTCTACAAAGTGACTGCAACAGACACAAGACCCTGTTTTAAAATGGATGATTCTTGGAGCAGTTTCCTTCAGAGATCAGGGGAATGTGATTTGTACTTCTCAAAGGGAATAACTTACAACTGAATTCAGAATGACAGATAAAAATTTTTTCACATTATCACCTGTTCTCTTATTCTCTCTTCTTGCTTCTCTGTTCAAATCTCTTACCATAGTCCACATGGTAATACAGAACCATATGTAGCCCACCTCCTTAATAAAGGCCATAACTGGCAATTAATAATGTGTGTTAACAGAAGCTAAATATGCAGAGGTATAGGAGAAATGAGAGGTATGAAATGTCTTTCCTTTTACATTTTTAAATAGTTTATGAACAGGTAGTTTTAGACTCTCCAATCCAAGTGAGATTCTACATCTTTTATTCTGAAAAATCTGACAGGTCCTCATAAGCATGGCTATTGCAACGCCTCTTAATTAACTCAGTGTATGTCACTCTGATATGAATTTACGTAAGAGAAAAATCAGCTAAGGTTCCTTCCAACTCTAAAAATTCTAAGAATCCAGATAAAAACATTAAACAAGTCAGTTTTTTCATCATGACAGAATGTGATCACATACCTGTTTAGATTCTAAGCATAACCCATGCACAGCCTCTTCCCTATTGAAGGCTGGGAGATAATAAAATGTGTTAAATTTTTCTTTACCCAGTGTTTATCATGAAAAATTACTTCCACTAAAATTTCTGTGCTAATTGATAAAACTTATAGAACCTTTACTAATACAAGGCTATTTTTTAAAAAAGCTTTTCTTTTGGGGCGCCTGGGTGGTTGAGCTGGTTAAGCATCTGACTTCAGTCATGATGTCACGGTTCTTGAGCTCGAGCCCCATGTCAGGCTCTGTGTTGACAGCTCAGAGCCTGGAGCCTGCTTCCGATTCTGTGTCTCCCTCTCTTCTCTCTCTGTCCCTCTCCCACTTGCACTCTGTCTCGCTCTCTCTCAAAAATAAATAAACATTAAAAAAACCAAACAAGTTTTTGTTGGTTTAATTTGCCTGTAAAGGGGAAAAAGCCTAAAGCAATACTCTGAAAAATCATAACATACAAAGATAAACATGATTCACATCTATGTTCAGAAGCTTACAATAAAACTAAGTAGTTTGCTTGTACTTTGCCTTGAGGAAAGAGACGAATGCTATTTATTAAATCTGGTTCCTTTCTTAGAGATAGGTTATTTCATGATTTATTTTCAAACAGGTTCTTAAAAGGATACGTGTTCCGTTAACTCCTGATATTTTAAAGTCATCTAGTAGCTGAACAACCATTTCTCTATTCGGATCATTAGGGTCTGAGTTACGAACCTGAAGTGAGAAAGACAGTATTTAGCAAAAGGAGAAGCGTGGAAATAATCCAAATAGTTGGGGAGGGAATACCCGCAGCACATGTAACAATGGATTAATTACTCCCAAGAAAGGCCTCATACAAATCTATGAGAAAAACATACTAAATTTTTAATAGCTCAAATAGACAAAGAAATAAACAGTTAACAAAAGGAAATACCACCAACATAGACTGTTGCTCTAATTCAACCATTTTTCTACTAAAAGTGTACCTCCCAAGTTAATCACTGGTTATCAGGCCATGAGGAATTAAGGAGACTTCACAGGATGTAAACCAACCACAACATTCATCACACTGTTCATTCAGCTGACCTTCTCCACCCCATAAAAAACCTTTCTCAATGAAGGAAGCAAATAGCACATTGACTTATTTTGGGGCACAAGCTCCTTATCTTGTCAGACTGGCACTTTGAAAATTACTCTCTTAGAGCTCTCCGGGTCTAACATGCTCACTTTACAAATGAAAACTCTAAGGCTCAGAAGAAATGAAGTGATGAGAGGGAGGATACAGTAGACTAGGGCTGGTCTTAAAGCCCAGGTTTTTGGAGTTTAAGCTCCTTCTACTACAATGACAGCTTCCTAATTTCTAGCAAAACCCAAAAGTTTTTTAAATAAAATTTACCTACGTTTTCAGATATTAAGGGAATTAATAAAATGCTTATTTTATATTATATATAGTTTATAACATTTTAAAACATGAAACAGATGTTATAAACTTATTCACACAAGTTTTAACCATAGTAGGAAAGTAAAACATTTTTTGGTGCTGTCTGGCAAATAAAACATGCTCAATAAACATTTTTGTTTGTTTGGAAGTTTTTTTCCGTGTTTACATACAGAAAATTCCCATCACAGCATATTCCACCACTTCAAGTACCACATGCACAGAAGGTATACTGTCATCTTCCTCTACCTTTTTAAGGATATTGGACTTTATGTCTTAATTTAATATAACTTTATGATGCTTTGCAGTTCACACATATGATCTAATACTCACTGATTTCAGCAACCGGATTTCATCTAGTGCTGTTTCAGTATAATGTTCAGCACTTTTAACTACTTTCATTGCCACAAACTTCTTCCCCCTAAGAAGCAAACACAGGCAGTTAAGACGAATGCCCTATCCTTACTTTAGGAAGGTAAGATTTAGTCATAACTAGGAGGCAATAAAAGTACAAATACTGATTCCATGTTCCCTGTACTTAAACATAGGCTATTTCTATGGGATCACGTGTACCTGTTAATGGATGGCACTAACTGGCCAGATTTCATTTACAGGAGGAAGAAAATCTGTTTTTGGGTAATGTCAGTCACCATACAATTTCTCTAAGTTAAAGTCTACCTTCTCAATGTCTCCTTGAATCCAAGTAAAACCATGAAATGGGAATAAATAAGGGGGATAACCCCATTAAACCAGAAGTATTTTACATATCTGCATGTCAAAACCTCAAAGGTTAAAAGCTGTAACACTTTCCTATAAGAAGCCAAAAGAGGGGCGCCTGGGTGGCTCAGTCGGTTAAGTGTCCGACTTCAGCTCAGGTCACGACCTCACGGTCCATGAGTTCGAGCCCCGCGTGGGACTCTGGGCTGATGGCTCAGAGCCTGGAGCCTGCTTCCAATTCTGTGTCTCCCTCTCTCTCTGCCCCTCCCCCGTTCATGCTCTGTCTCTCTCTGTCTCAAAAATAAATAAACGTTAAAAAAAAAAAAAAAGAAGCCAAAAGAAATACTTGGGTGAAACCAAACTGATAAAAAAATAAAGTGCACAGATCTCAAATACTGTCCCATCAAAGACAGACCATACACTTATAGGTAAACCTCCAATGTTAATTACCTGTAATTTTTATATAGGAAAAATTCTGGACTGTACAGTCGAGCAAATCTCTTATCAAAACAAAATATAAGAAAATAATTTCACATAGGTTGGTCCAGGACATCATCTAAAAATTTAAATCCAGTAAAAAACAAAACAAAACCCTATGAATTTACATACCATACTTTTATGGAGTATTTGTAATGTTTGAATTTCTGAGTTCCAAGTGCCTTATGGACACTAATTTTGCCCCTAACATGCTTCTTCACCAGAGGAAAAGACAAATTTGCCCAAGAATATAAAGATTATCAACAACAAAATTCTGACCAAGAAATTGGTCTAGAGCTAGACTGAAGGCTGGATCATCTCTGGAAAATCAGACAAAAACACTTAGGCATCACTTAACTAATTCTTTTGCAGGACCACTACAACTTACTGAATATCCCATGATAACCACACTGTCGAAAAGTGTCCCCAGCCTAACTTTCGGATCACGTGATATCTCCCATTGAATAGATCTCCGATTTTCACAAGATGATAACCTCCTGGAAGAAACAACAGGGGGGAAACAGTCACTTAAGCAGTAAGAAGGAAAAGGTATCTCATAATCCATTTTCAACATCTATACACAGTTTATCAAATAAAAGTGGTTTCTCTATGTAACAAATTGAGAAGAAAATTGTAAGTCTGCCACACACAGCCACATACTAAACTCATGTTACAGAAAAACATCTTCACAAGTAAGACTAATGATTTAGAGTAAGCAAGTGATGCTTTGTTGAACAACCAATAGCTACTTAAAAAAATAAATCACTGTCAAACAAAAACAAGGTTACATATCACAATATTCTTGCCCCTCAATAATCCAATAGATTTATCTAAATATATGAATGTTAATGAATTCCATCTATTTAGGAGCACCTGGGTGGCTCAGTTAAGTGTCTGACTCTTGATTTCAGTTCAGGTCATGATCTCATGGTTCAGGAGTTCGAGCCCCATGTCTGGCTCTGCACTGACTTCTCTCTCTCTCTCTCTCTCTCTCTCCCTGTCTGCCCCTTCCTTGCTTGTGCATGCTCTCGCTCTCAAAAAAAAAAAAAAAAAAAAAAAAAAAAGAATTCCATTTATTTAACATTAAAAGAAAGAAAGAAAGGGAAAATAGAGAGTTTGCTCCCTTGAACAAAATAAAAACCAGGAAGGCCTGAAAAGGCTGCCAACAGTGGCAGGAATCAAGGTATTTTTACATGTATCTTTGCTTGCTGAGAATAACACAAACTATGTTCTCCTAGATGGTAAGATACATTCTGTTGTAACTTGCCACCCAGAATTGTAGAAAGTCTCATAAAGAAACAAAAAAGCTATCAGGCAACTTTATGACACAGCTTAAGTATCTATAATGCCAGTTTAACTTACCTTAGCAAGCATTACTATGAGAAAAAAGTAATGAGAAGGTTTTTTGAAAAGCCTGTATACCAAATCTCATCACTGGTTATTTCTGGGTGATACAGCATTATAGACAGTTTTTATTTTCTTTTTAATATACTTCAGAAATTTTCTAAGGTAAATATGCACTATCATTTTGAAGGAGAAAGAAGGGTAAAAACAGATTTAACATAAAATCAAGCTTTAATAAATTAAATTGAACTGAGAGGAAACATTATTTCTTATACTTAGAGAAAAGGATGCGATAAGCAGAAAGCATCAAAACAGCTTACACCGACAGACCCAACATTCAAGTGAGAAATTGCATATGCTCATGAGTCATATCTTACTTGGTGTGTCCTTATCAAAGGCCTTACCTTTACAATAATCATTGGGATCTTCCTGCTCATCATCATCAGATCCCAGAATCTCCTCTTCCTGCTCTGGTAGATCACTTTCCGAGTGGGGAGCAGAGCCTCGGTGCTGAGTTTCAGATCTAAGAAACACAAACATGTTCATTCCATACGGACAGAATAAAATAGGACGTTAAGAAAATGGCATTATCAAAAAAAAAAAAAAA